TCCAATTGAGAATGATACAGAAGAATCGTGAGTCAATGTCCATGCCCAACAGGGCAACACCAACAGCATAACCCAAATGTAGCTCTCTCTTGTGAATGGCGCCAGGCGCCCTATCTACTCTACAGCTATCCTACAACTRCAGCAATGAAAAGCAACCAGACAACTTGACTACCAACGAGTGATGATGTCAACACCAATGCCGACCTCCACCATCACCAGGTACGTGTCATCTTCCCCACACTCTCCCTTGTTACCCACACAACGCCCTTCACCTCCAAAGTACCACCTTCGCCCTCACCTCCCCTGCGCTAGCCAGCAGCCCGGCTATGGCCGCCAGCCCCTTGCGCCCAGGCAGCGCACCTCCGCGTTAGCGCTGGTCTGGCAGTCTTGCGCTCAACGCAGCTTGACACAGCGCAGCACACTCGCACTCGCGCAGCGTGCCGGCAATGCCTGCATTGGCCAAGATCCCCTCTGCCTCGCCCTGCTTGCCTATATGCCAGTGCAGTGTGTGGGCGGCCTCCCTTCAGCCTGTGACCGGGGCCCAGAGGCTGAAGCCAACTCKATACAGTTGGGCCCCGGGGTAAGGYAGTTGTGCCTCCTTCATCAAGGCCTGCGGCCAGATTCATACAGTGGGCCGATTTCCCTTTGGCATTTTCGGCCTCTCTTCCCAGCATGCATTGTCGGCCTCACGTTCAGATGCCCAGGGCCTAACCAACTCAGAGGCCCTGGGCTTTCAGCATTTGCTGAAATCCGAGACTCGGTGCACTCCAACCAACTGGCSTGCTGCAACTGTATGAACCCCACTTCGTGAAATGTTGCACAGAGGGCTCTTGTCGATTTGCTGGCCCGCCTTCACTTAGGGCGGGCACTARGCTTGCTGGGGCCTTAGCCCAGAACATGTACATCATGGCAAGGCCCCTACTTGAGGGCTCAATCCTCACATTCCATCCCCCTTAGCTTCGAAAGTCCGCTGAGATGCTTACTTCGCAGGTGCCTTCCCTTTCAGTTTCCTCTCATAGTCTGCCACCACCTGAGGAGCTGTGTCAATCAGTTCCTCCCTTGTAAACCAACGATCTTCTTTTGGATCTGTGTGATGCCTGAATCTGACGCGGTACTCTCTCTTGGGCTTGGGAGGTCTTCCTCGGCCCAACGGCTTTGGAACAGGCATGTCCCTGTGATCCACAATGTCGTCGATGTCAACCTGACCATCCATGGTTGGGGGCAGCATCGATCTCCTGGAAGGGAATTGATATGTCTCAGCGAAAGGTGCAAGCTTTGAGGCATGAAAAACTGGGTGAGTGCGTAGATGACCAGGGACACGAATGACGTACGTAGGACCATCCATTTCATCTCCCACTACATCCAAGACTTCCCAGGGACCAAAGTATTGAGGCATTAGTTTACGAGATATTCCGAACTCCCGTCCTAACTCACTAGCCTTGACCCAGACACGTTCCCCTACCTGAAATGTGGACTGTCTGCGATGTTGATTCTCAGAAGCAATCATGGCTTGCTGAGCTTTCTTCATATGTTCAACAGCCTCGCGCAGCAACTTCTCATATTGCACACCGTACTCAAGTGTGCCTGGAGTTGCAGCAGGTCGGTTTTCAGGTAGGAGGAAGTCTAGTGCTGATATAGGCTTCCATCCCAAGTGCAACTGGTTAGGACTAACGCCGGTACTACTATGAATAGCATTATTGTACAAGCTGGCGATGAGAGGCAACTGCTCATCCCAATCATCTTGGTTGGGCTTGATGTAATGCCGCAGCAAGTGCTGTACCACCCTGTTCATCTGTTCGGCTTGTCCGTTGGCTTCAGGATGATTCCCTGAAGTCATTTGAAGTTGACTTCCCATCTGTTCTGCAGTTTTCTTCCACAGTTCACTTGTAAAGCGGACGTCTCGGTCACTAATGATGGTCTTTGGTAAACCAAAGTCCCTTACCCAGTTGTCTTTGAACAACTTGATGACATACTCCGTCCTGGCTGTCTCTGGCATTGGTATTAGTCTAGCGTACTTGGTGAATCTGTCAATGATGACGAAAATGTGCCTTTTACCATTCTTGCTGGTCACTAGGGTGTCCATGAAATCCATGAAAACACTCAATCCTGGACCATCAGGAATGGGTAAAGGCTTCAATAACCCAAGCGGTGCTTGAGTTCGCGGCTTGTCCCGCTGACAGACCTGACAGGTCTCAACATACTTCTTTGCGTCATCTAGCATTCTGGGCCACCAAAATCGCTGTACTAAGTTAGCACTCGTCTTCTTATAGCCAAAGTGCCCAGTTGCGTCATGACATTCGCCTAAAAATAAACTACGCAACTGTTCACTAGATGGAACTACCAATCTCTTTACTTCGGCCTTATCCAGATAGATTAGCCCATCCACCATCACAAACTCACTTTCTGTGGCCTTGTCTTTTGCCTGAAGTTTGCGGATGATGTCCATCGTGACAGGGTCTTCTTGATAGGCTCCCACCAGTGATTGAGTTACTTCATTAGATACGCCAAATTCAGATACTAGCGCACCTAGGTAGTCTGCTCTTCGGGATAGCGCGTTTGCAACCTTGTTGTACTCTCCCTTCAAGTACTCAAGCTTGAAGTCATATTGGTCTATGACCTCAGTCCATCGCTTGAGTGCATCTGAAAGAGCCGGTTGAGTCTTGATCCATTTGAGGGTCTGATGATCAGTCCTCAGATAGAAGAACCTTCCCAAAAGGAAGTGTCTCCAATGGACAAGTGCCTTGTAGAGAGCATAGAGTTCCCTTTCATAGGTGGACTTAGCCAACTTCTTTGATGGCATCTTCTTACTCATGTACTCAATCGGTCTCAACTTTTTCCCATCCTGCTGAGCCAGCACTGCGCCAATGCCGTATTGGCTTGCGTCAGTGGTCACTATGAATGGCTTTTGCGGATCGGGAACCATGAGAACTTCATGATTCATGAGTGCATGCTTCAATCTTTTGAAAGCACCCTCGCACTCATCATTCCAGCCCACGGTGTGTCAAGTCGAGTTAGATCAGTCAAAGGAGAGGCGACTGTAGAATAGTTCTTAACAAAGTTTCTATAGTAGCCGCACATTCCTAAGAATGACCTGACCTCAGTGATTGTCTGAGGTCGTGGCCAGTCTCGAATACTAGCCACCTTCGCATCTTCCGGCCTAATCCCTTCCGCGGATACTTCATGACCCAAGTATAGTATCTTAGTGCGACCGAATTTACACTTCTCGAGGTTTACCTTATACTTGTGCTGTCGTAGGAGTGAGAGAACTATCTCAACATGTTGTGCGTGCTCCTCGGCAGACTTACTGAAGATCAGAATGTCGTCTAGATAGACTACGACATACTTATCTAAATGGTCATGGAAGATACGATTCATAGCGTGCTGGAATGTACCCGGCGCATTACAAAGATCGAAAGGCATCACTACAAACTCATACAGACCATATCTAGTCTAAAAAAGTTGTCTTGTGCTGGTCCTCAGGTCTTATTGCGATCTGATGATATCCAGATTTCAAGTCTATCTTCGTATAGTACTTGCATCCCTGCACCCTATCCAATAGGTCGTCTATGCGAGGTAGAGGCTCTGCGTTTTTCACAGTGATGGCATTAAGGCCTCTATAATCAATGCACATCCTCAAAGTACCCCCCTTCTTTGGTACGAATAGTACACGTGATCCGTAAGGGGAAGTACTAGGCCGAATCCATCCCTTCTCTGTCAGCTCCTTGAGTTGCTTCCGAAGTTCATCTAACTCGGCAGGGGCCATCCTATAGATCCTTCCCTTTGGGGTCTTACTCCCTGGAATGATTTCTATAGCGTGGACGACTTCCCTATCAATAACTCCTGTGGGCTCCTCAAACAGATCAGGGAACTTAGCAACGACACGTTCTATCTCTGGGGGTGTTTTAACGGCCTCCCCCTTCTCAGAGACATAAACAAGGAACATACCCTCCTCTTTGTTTTGCTTGTAATAGTTGTAAAACGCTGATGCACACAAGCAGCCATAGGTATCTACAATACTGCTGGCCTTGAACTTAGTCAATCTAACAGTTCGGCCATCGGGCAACTTATGCTTGAGCACCTTCTTATCCCAGTCGAACTGGGGCTTAGCAACTTCGAGGTAGTACATGCCTAGCAACATTTCGAATGGCAAGTCGTCGCTAACCAAGAACGAGATCTTATGGTTAAGCTCTCCTCCTCCATAGGAGAAGGTGCAGACTACGTCCTTGATGTAGTCTGTCACTATCATGCGCTCTTTGTTGGCCAAAGTAGATGCTACTGGTCTACTAAGGTGCCGTACCCGGTCCTGTAGGTGCAGCCTTTCCAAACAATCGCGACTTATGTAATTTCGTGTGGATCCATTGTCTATGAAGGCACCACATTTGCGGCCTCCTACATCCACTTCCACCACGAAATGTTCTCCTCTAGGACCCTTCTTTAGCGCCACCCAAGACTCACGAGGGTCCTTGTTTGACCACTCGCCTTCTAAGTCTTCTAAGGCTTCAGACACATCTAACGTATAGAGCATAGTTTGGTCTAGATGTGTCTGCGGGGTAGCTAAGGAGTCATTAGCTTCGGCCTTGTCACGAAGTGAGGAGGGTATCATTCCCAATTCGTCTTGAGTAGAAGCCGCTATTACTTCCACTGGCCCTACGCGTTTCCCGAGCTAGAAGCCTGGGAAATAGTTGCCCCAACCTTTGGTGCAATCTTTTGCGTAACCTTCGCGTTCGGGCACTTCCACTGCGTGTGTCCGTATTCCCCGCAGTTGATGCAAGCGCCACGCGATCGTCGGTCACGCCACACGTCCTGGTCAAGACGTGCCTTGACCCACTCAGCCTGTTTGGACTGATTGGAGGCGGCCTTCCCTTGACTCCTTGGTTGGCCCTTCCCTCGGCCACCTGCCTTAGTCTTTACTATCGCGGCGAGGGTGCTACCCTCAGCTACCTCCTCGCCGTCACACTCTTAATAGTCCACCAGGTCAGAGAGCTCGTCGATTTCGGTTTGGGTCCAATCTGACTCAACCATCATCAACTTCGCCCCCTTCTTCTTCCACTCCTGGGGACTCTTCTTCTTCTTTGAGTCGTTCCCTGAGGTGGGTTGAGCATTGCCTAGTGTTGCCTCAAGGTCCAAGGCCTTCCTAGACAATGTCTCAAACGAGTGGTACTCGGTGTGCGCCTCACTGGCCAGTAAGTTCCTGATGTTCTATGGAAGACATCTAGCAAAAGTTGTTAACAGGAACTGGTCACTGTAGTTGATGTCGGGGACGAGGATCAGGCTCTCGACGGTAGTCGTAAGCTCCCTAACAGACCTGAACTTGCGTTGGTCAAGTTTGTTAATGGCATCAGTGGCCCTTTGAGCCTCCTGTGGGTTATGCCACCGAGCTTCTACCATCTCCATGAATTGGTCCAAAGTCAAGAACTTAGCCCAATCCGCCATGCGCCGCCCGTACCCAGCCTTCACAACTACACCATCTAGCCATTTGCCTGCTTTACCCTCTAGGTAAGATGCCGCAGTTACCACCTCATCCTCTGGCAAGGTCCTCTTGGCCTTCACCCAAACCGGGACTGTCCTCAACTATGTGTTGAGTTCCTCGTCCTTCCTCTCGCCTGAGAAGGCAAGAGGCGGTTTCATTGGGGTCTTGGGATACCATTGACCCTGCGGTTGCGGTGGTGTAGCAACCACCACAAGACCCGAAGAAGAAGACGCAACAGTCTGTGAGACTGCTGCAGACGTACCACTTGGCTGTGTGCCAACTTGTACGGCAAAGGGGCTTGACATCGCCGTTAACGGCAACAACGATTGTGCTGTTGGCCGGAATCCTGGCTTTGTCAATGCATCCAGGATCTGGTCCAAAGTGCTTTGCATGAAGTCCATCTTGCTGTCTACGTGCGCATGCAGTGACAACATGTTGTCCCTCAACACTTTCAGAGTGTCGGACAAACTCAATTCGTCCAATGCCTCTAACGCAGCCTTGTCAGCCTCTAACGTCTCAAGTCTGGCTGCTCTACTTTTCATCGCATTTTCCCTATCGGTAGCATCTTTCAGGTCCTGCTCTAACTTACGACGGAGCCTCTCGACCTGCTGGATCTCTCTGAGTTCCCTCTCACGCGGGGTCAACGGGCTGAACTGCGCGCCCGCCATTTGACTAGAAGACTGCCGAGAACCTGTAGAACCGGAAGTGCCTGAGGAACTTGTGGAACTCGTTGGCATTCCCAGACTCGTCCCATTAGTCCCTGACAAAGCCGCAAAGGATGCTGCTGAGCTAGTCATGGCTGCTGCCCTAGCTGCTGCGGCAGCCTGTTCCCTAACTGTGGCGTTTGCTGTTGCTCTCGTCGCTGCGAGCGCACGGGCTCTACGTTCGGCACGAAGCTGTCTTAATTCTTCCTCGTCCAAGGTCCTGAACACGAGCGGAACCCTTAATGCTCCCGAACGTGTAAGTCTCCTATCGTCACCTCTATCATCAACAGGATCTGTTCCGCTCATTAGTTAGACAGATACTATCTGCACTAGAATCCCCTAACGGAATCCTACCGCAGCATGTATCTGACCGACACGTGATTTTCTAAAAATAGTTGCGTCCGGTGAGTTCCTTACTATACCGATCAAGTGGCATGTCTACGACATTCACAAAGATTGTCTACGTAGTCTAGATGCACTTTGACTGGTTCACTTACAACAGCATTAGTTAAAACTGGCTATGGTAGTATACAACAGTCCTAAACTAATCTGTGTGTGAGGTGTTAGCAGTCTGTCCACCAACTAATCAAAGGTACAAAAAGACCATGTAGCAGATGTATGATGAGTGGGTATAGTTGTGTATTCAGTTGAGCACCAATTGGAACCTACCCTCCCCTCCATCCAACATACCGAACAGCATC